GGTTCCATGGAGTCTTATTCACATCTTGTGCACGAGGTTCGGACCAGCCCGGAAACCTTATGCTTATGTAGTATGGTCTTTGGGCCCAAAGCGTTAAACAAATCGTCCTGAGAACCTTTGCCCAGACGCCTGTACTACCAAGGGGTACTTTATAGGAATCCCCTTACGGGATGTACTTTTATCGGATCCTCCCAGGGATCTGAAAAGATATGGGTGGTTGTCAAAATTAGGGTCCCTTTTAGGGTCCTTAAGATATAAATATTAGGGTACCCAAAAAGGGATCCCAATTTTGACATTCACCCATATACACACCAAAGACACCCCCCGAAGCTGAGCCCCAAGCTGTCTTTAGCATTGGAGAATTCTCGACATCCTGCCAGTGGGCAGCTGACAAACTTTGGGTGTGGTTTAGGGTTTGACACTTGGGGCTAAGGGTCTGGGGCTTAGGGTCTAGGAGCGTATAGACTTAGAGGTTAAGTTTTAGGGTTTAGGGTTTGTTCTCAATCATGGCTCGTGCAGGGCCTACAAACTTTTACTCTGTGACACCTGTGTCACAAGAAATCCAGACTAAGCCACGAGGGTGGATCAGTGCACCTTTTGTGTGCCTCTGATGGCTCCACTCTTGCTGACGGCATTGTCCGCAGGATCATGAAAGATTTCATGCTTGTTTGACGACAGACCCTGCTGCTCCATGTTCTTACGGATGTTCCCACACCAGAAAAGATCTCTGCTCCATCCGAATCTGGTTGTATTCGTCTGCAGCGTCCAGCATATCCTTGAAGCCGAGTGGCACAAATTATAACTTTAGCTGTTTCTTAGGGATTATGGGAACCAAAAATCAGACACATCTAGAAAGGACCCCCAAGAAGTGCCGAAGCGACACGTTGATTTCGTACTTGGGTTCAGGACAGTGGTGTTTGAATTATTGAGTAGGGTATTTGACGGTGCAGGGGCACTGAGAAAAATCAGCATGTCCCAAACTCTTTCTCAAATCGTGCGAAGCTCACCAGCGGCGTCAGAGCTTCGGGAACGGTAGGGCTCTCTACAGAAGTAAATCCGACAGGCAGGTGCACGTGAGTTGCTTATGGAGATTCAAAAGCAGGGCAGATGTGCTCGAATAGGGTTCCGGTCTCGGCCCTGAACTCGAAACCCCAACGTCGTCAGGATCTTCCTGGCTCCGACAGTAGGGTCCCAATGCCCGGGCTGATGGATAATGCCTGGCCTGGCGCCCCCGAAATAGAAATGAGGTTTAGGGTTCAGGGGCGCAGGGCAAGACTGGTACAAGATATTTCGGCAAAATCTGCTGAATCCCGATTGACCACCCCTTGCTTATTTTTACAACTCTGCAATTCTTCCAGACACCTCCTGATCAATCCCAAAATGAGAATCCTCCCCTAAACATTGCGCCATCACGACCTCTTTGAGAATGCCAGCCACCTCGAAACCCCCGACAAAGGCAACCGACGCCTAACATCGCAACTAAACCCTGACCCTCACCCCACCTCCTCCCTAAACCCTAAACCCTAAACCCAAAACCCAAAACCCTAACCCTAAACCCTAAACCCTAAACCCTGAAGCCTTAAACTCTTGACCCCAAAGCCCGACCGAGCCGAAAGGGCCCATCCTTGACCAGGGTCATGCTGTGGTCTTGCGAGATGTGGCCGAGAGAGAGAGAAGGAGAGGGGGCTGAAGCGTTGAACTTCCGAGCTTTCAAGGAGCTTGAGCCGAAAGTGTAGGGAGGGTTTAGGCTTTTAGGCTTTAGGAAGTTTAGGGTAGTTTAGGGAAAGTTGACGGTTTAGAAAGTTTAGGGTTTGCGACTATCGGGTTTTAGAAGAGGCCCCAGCCCTTTTATGTGGGCTTAGGGGCTTAGCAGTCTATGCATGGGAGTTGGGCTTCGAACATAGACGGTTTAGGCATAAGGTTCAGGATTTAGGCCGTAGCGTCTACTATTAGGCTCTGGGCTTGCCGGCTGCTTGGAGGATAATAGTACTTAGTAAGTAAGCTTATTAGTACCTTAACTGGGGTAATATGTAATTATGAGTATGGTTACTCAAATTATAACCCTAGTTACCAAGTCCCATGAGCCTTTACGTAGGGTTGCTGAAAGATGAGGTTCGGGCCATAGCTGGACAGGAACTTCACTTGGAGGATCGGGGGACTTTGTAAATACTTGAAAGCTCATGGGACTTAGTAACTACAGTGTTGAAAGTAAGGTAACTATACTTATAATTGCTTACAACACCAGTTAAGTTAAGGCACTTATGACCTTACTCACTAAGCCCCATGACCCCCCAAATAGGTAGTAAGTAGACCAAAAATGAGTCCGCACAGGGGTCATGACACTTAGGCGTCTACAAAACTCAGCAGGCTTCATGAAACGACTAAGTGGCCGGTGGTTTAGAGTTTAGGCCTTAGGCCGGTATTTTGGCACTGTGGCGTGTGGTGCTCCCTCGGAAGGCGACGCCGTTAACCCTCATCAAATCCTAAACCCCAAACCGTAACCCCAAACCATAAACCCGGAAGTTCAACACCCTAAAGCCCTAAACCTCAAAATCCTGAACCCCAAACCAGAGCGCGGTACAGTGGCGGCACGGCTGCTCTGCGCCGATTTTTGCCTCGAGGCGTAAAGGCCGGGGAAAGAGTTTTCGTCTTAGGGTTCAGGGCTAAGACCACGCAGGCATTGGAGTTGTAGATGGCCCTGTGAGGTTTGACAATCGGGTCGTAGGTGTCTATATGGTGAAAATGTAGGGTTCCTATAGTAGGATTACTAGTAATTTGGGTAAGTACATAACACTACCATGAACCTTTGGGTAAAAGGCTGGTAAGTGTTACATGCGAGACTTGAGGAAAATCCTGGAAAGCTCGTGGGTAGCCGCCAATGTAATTCAGGCTTGCACGTGGCTCAACTAATATAGGGGCCTTATAATAGTTAGAATAGGGTTTTGGGCCCATGATACCACAACTATAACAAGGAACCCCCTAAATAATGTAGGTAATTGTTAAGGCCCTCATATTATGGTCAAGGGTTAGAATTCTGGGTCCTGAGATGCAGGCTTCGTATCTGAAGTCGAGCCATAAAGTAAAAGCCAGAAAGTTGGAATATGATTATCCTAAACCCTTTATGGTAAATTATAAGGTATCCTACCCTGAAACCATATTCCAACTTTCTGGAGCTCCCTTTAAGTCCGTAAGCATTGCAGGGCCCGGTCTGAGGCCCCCAACCGTAAACCCCCAGAACGTGGAAACCTGAAGAGGAACCAGAAAACCCTTAACCTACCTATGTACCTTTAAAAAGAGGATATGACACCTAAAAAAGGTACATTTAACTTGTTTAAGGTACCTTAGTCACTCCAAACCCAAAACTCTCAAAACCCTAAACCTGAAAATCATACACCCTAAAACCCTAGACCACCCAACAACCCTCGAACATGGAGCCCAAAAAGCCCAACTAAAGCCTACCATCCTCAAAACCGAGGACCTTCGAGAGTGCACCGTATAAGCCAGAAGCCGGGTTTGGAGTATGTTGACTATACTACTACTACTGTAGTTATAACGGGGGCTATAATGGGATGCTACTACTTGAAGGGTCGGGGGACTTAGTAACTGGTTATTTTAGGGGCTTATAAGTGCCATAACCCCAATTAGGGTCCCTTTTAGGGTACTTATATAAGTCTACTTACTACCTACTTACTAAGTCCCCCGACCCTCTAAGAAATTATTCCGGCCCTAGTGTTGCAGGGAGGGCCAACTGCCTGGTCGATGACCGACGGCTAAGGAAGCGTGGCCGCATGAAGCCATGGTGGCCGGCTAAGCTTCGTGGCTAACGCTGAAGTACAGCATGGCACACTACTATACGCCATCAGTACAGAATACTTGCCGTAAAGCATCAAATAACTTCGAGGTTAATGACCAGCAAGGCGAGATTTGAGGCCAAGCTTCCAATGAACTCGGCTGCTGTGTGTGGGCCTTCCGACGATCTCAAATCTGTCGGTATGGAGTTGCTAGTGGCTGCCACCTCGGTCTCTGCGCAAGGGCCTTCAGGAATGTTGAAGTACTGAAACAGCATTGTGACCACAACGGTGCTCCTGCGTCTTTCGGGCCTTAATAATGTCTGGAATAGGGCTCTAGGCTATGTTGTGCTGTAAGATTATGTGAGGACTATACACCATCGAATGCTATTGACAATGATTCAAATCCTTATAATACACCCTAAGGACCATGAGCGGACCCCGGCTAGCACGTGCTCATCTCTTGTCAGCTGCCATGGATGCGTAGAGCTGCGGCCTGCGCCTGCATCTTATCTTGCCAAACCTCCGAACCTCTTCTTCCGGAAGATCTATTTAAAGTTCATACGCAACAGCTATAAGCCCTAAATCCGAAATCCTGCATCCTAAAGCCTGAACTGCACACTCAACCCCTGAGACCTGGAAAGTCGTGGTCCGCAAGGCGTTTGGCTTATGCTTGAGACGTCCTCCAAGATAATATAGGGGCCTTGATAATTCGAACAGGGTTCCTTTAAAGGGGTCTACAAGGGCTACTACAAGGGCATTCTCGGGATCTAGTATAAGGGCCTTAATAATTAGAACAGGGTTTGGGGGCCCGTTATACTATAGTTATACTATGGAACCCCCAAAATAGTATGGGTAATCGTTTAGGCCCCTACAGTAGCCGCTGCCCTAAACTCCACGAGTCGAAGGTAAACAGCCTGAACATTCCTCTCTCTGCTCTTTGGCCCTATGCCCGTGTACCTAAAACATGCTCACGCTAAGTTCTAAACCTTGAATCCGGACGGAGCCCTAACTTCTCGGGAAACTTCCCCAGGGTTTAAGGATTGGGACTGAGAGCTGTTGGCAGCCGGTAGCGTGCTGTAGCAGTGAAGTGCGTGACTTACGAGGTAGACCGTCTTCCAAGTAAGATTTTTAGGGATGTCGGAGATGGGCTCAAGGATCTTGAGGCTTGAAGCTTGGTGGCTCGGGTTCTAGAACTTAGGCACTTGGAGTTTAGGTTTTGGGGCTTGCATGACACAATAAGCGAAACCTGAAACCCGGGACCGCTTTTCCGACACGCTGGTGAGCAGACTGGAGGAGAACTCGCGCACCTCGTCGGGTCGTGAGTCAGCGGCGCCCTAAACCCTAAACCCAGGGGAAGGCTCGTAGAGCTCGTTTGTTTTCTACGGCTGAGCGGTTTCTATAGGGAGTGAACGAAAACTGGATCTTGCAAAGACTTAGTTACTGTCGTCACTCCAGGAGTTATAGTTATTCCAGTATCTCAATGCGCAGTGCAGTGTTTGATGAACTTGCAAGTCAGTTCAGCGTTTATCACTCTTGAACCTCATGATGTACAAATTCAGCTTGGTCCGACAATCAAGTGTGGCTGGGAACGTGGCATGACTGAACAACCCCCCATTCTAATATTGAAGGTGCTTACTGCGGCGAATACGCACCACATGTCGTCGGGGGCTGCGCAATCTTGTTGTCAGACCGAAGTGATGGAAAATAGTGTCTCGAAGTAACCAGCAAGCCTTAGCAATCAAGGCCTGAACCCTTCATTAATCCTTACTATAGGTATTATAGGGGTCGGATATTCCTTTATAGCTCCTACATGTCAAAAATGTAACGTAATATACCCCCAAATCCGTATGTAGATGATCAAGGTCCCTGTACTGCAGAACCTTCTAGGTCCTTTTAACCAAGGAACCCTTTGAACGAGCCCTGTTCAAGTAAGTACCCAGAGGCCCCATGTTAGTTCCTTTTTGGGATTACCTTATAGGATTCTATATGCGAACCCCAAAACGGAACTACTTTGGGGCCTTTGGGTAAAGCCTCAAAGCCCTGAACCCCATACAGTAAACCCCATAAAGTTGGAAACCGGGTTAAGGCCAAATAGTGCTGGGATTCCCTATAAATTAGTCTTAAGGATTGAGGCTATTGGGTTTCCAACTTTCTGGCTTCTACTGTAGACTCGCTGAGAGGTCTGACTCAGCCGCAGGAAGCTTTCTTTAATCATCGGCATAGGGATCCTTAAAAGGCCCTTCAAAGAGCTCCACAAGAGTGACGACGGTAAGCGTTCCATGATGATGTATGGGCCATACCAATTAGAGTGGGGTTTTGGGTTGGCATAATACAAAAAGGCCAGATGTTAATTAGGCTTCTATAGTAGATCAGCGCGGTGCAGCTTCCCGTTTTGGTGCTTGGGATTGAGAGTCTAGGTAACTATCACGCTCAGACACTGCGCTCTTTTGCCGCCTATCCGACCGGCAGTAAGATTTAGGTGATTATGTGCTTCCAGCTGAACAGGCTGCAGGGGCGGAACGTAGCTCCGCATGACACCTCCGGCCAGGAAGACTAGGCTTGCAACAGCCAGAGCCTGTACACCGAAGAGGGTGGCACAAGCCACGAACTCGGGACGTCTATACACTCGGCTACAGAATGCTAAAGAAGCACTCATCGACCAAACACTGAACAGCGGTCGTGATGCTCAAAACATTCACATGTAGCCGGCCCGCGTTATAAAAAGGACTGGGTCGTCCTGGCTCACTTTACTGAGCATAAGCAATGTGTCTGCAACAGAAGCGGCTCACTGGTGAAGCCGTCCGGCATCTTTTGCGAGGAATTGCAAGCCCTTCAGGCTCTGTAGGCTCGTCCACATCGATAAAGGTCTTCCGTACCTTACCCGTTCCAAGTGGAGCTGAACTAACTTGGACGGCTTGATGATACACACACACACACACATCGTATGACCTATGAATGTCGTATGTCTGTAGTTTTGTATGTACGTATTGCATCAACATACACACACACACATATACATATATACACTGGGCTATATCATACAAAACACAAGTTAAAAGGTTGCTAAGTCTCGAACGAGAGTACCACGGTCTTAATCTCGATCGTCTCGTGGAGTCGCTGCTGCAAGGCTTCGAAGCTATGGTCAGCCTGAAACCGCGGAGCTACCGATTCAGAAATATTCGGGGCTGCTGGGCCACCCCGTGAGCGACGGTATGCTGCCTTCTGCAGAGCATACGCCCGTTGAAAGGGCTCTCGCACTCGATCCCAATCATCCCGTGGAATTGCGCACTGGTATGGCAGCAGATCTTGCCCGTCTACCGACGGATACAGAGTTGCTGGCTGGTCGATCCTCTCCATGAACAAGTTGAGATACTCCGACAGCAAGAAACTTCTACTACCCACCATTCGAGGATGGTACCGGACCCAAGTTGTGAGCCCATCTCGTTGACCTGCATCAATTGTCGTCAACTCCTCCGACGCCTTCACATCCTCTTTGGGATTGCGTATCAAAAAACCTTGCTTAAACTCGCAAGGAAACATGAAAGGACAAGACAAACTAAAATACGCAAAACGTTAAATGTTGCCTCTGACATCCTCCTCGGGATTCTTTGTAGTAATCCTGTTGAACTAAGCTGGTAGGCTTATACACAGCCCCAAAAGTTATAGAAGGGACACAGCGGTTAGAGGTAAGGAACCCTTAACCCATATAGCTCCACTACGGCAGCCCTCATAGTAACCCTTATAGTATCCCTTCTGGTAACCCCTAAAGGAACCCGTATAGTCTCATAGTGACCCTGAAGAAACCTTTTTGGTTTATGGTGGAAGTACATAAACTAAAACAAAAGGAAAAAGGACACCCAGTCAGGCCCACAGTCCTCCTCCATGCTACTCTATACTATGGTTTAGGGTTTAGGGTTTAGGGGTTTTGGGTTTGTCATACCATATAGTCGGAGCCCCTGAACCCTAAACCCGAACACATGAAATCAAAGAACAAAAACGTAGACCACTGAAGGCCATACAGTATGAGCCTAAAAGTTGGAAGCCCAATAGCCTCAATCCTTAGGAGTAATGTACAGTGAACCCCAGCACTATTTGGCCTTAATCCGGTTTCCAACTTTATGGGGTTTACTGTAGTCCTCCTCAACCGCCGGTATCAGAGGACGGCCCCTTCGCCAGCTTTGGATGGTGAGGATGCTGTAGGCCTGCGTATCTCTCCTGCGCATCTGGGTTGTAGTTTTGGGGCTCTGAAAAGTATTCATGAATAGGTACCTCTATGGGAACCATAAAGGGAAATCAAAAAGTTTCCCAAATTGCCAGCCAGGCATAGAGTGGGGATTCTTGAAAGGATTCTGCAAAAGGTTCCTCTAAGTCTTGGAAAGTTGGATAATGTTTGGGCGGTATTCCTCTACTCAAGTTACAGTTAAGGTTACTATAATAAGTAGACATCTCGGGACATGATGGCAAACTATAAATCTCCTGCGCATCTCAGCGATGCCAGGTCGATTCAGGAACCACTCGGTCAGGTCCCGAGCTGACTCCAGTATATTCTCGAAGTGCATGGAGGCCCACATTGGCAATGAAGGAATTTTTAAGACAAAGTCGAGGGAAAAGGTGCCGGGACCCTGTTGCCGGCCAAGGATGGCTCCCTCCATGTGATCACATTGCACCAGAAGAGCACTGTCGCCCTGTCGCGGGTAGTTTCTCCTGACGGTATGGCGCAAGGTGCCGGGCATCTCTGAGAGTGTCTGGAAGCAGAAGAGGTTGTTGGTGTTGGGAGTCTCCTTGCTAAGCGAGAAGAAGAAGAGCCCACACTGTCGGTTGAACCTCCATGCCCCACGCCGTCGCACCATGGCATCTCCAGGACCCAGCTGCTGCACCACCTCAAACATCTCCTGATTCAACTCGGGTGACATGCGCATGGCCCAATCTCGGACTTCTGGTCTCACGAAGAGATGAGCGCCGAGAGGCGAGTCCTGGACTTGAATGTCCTTCAAGGAGAATCGAACGAGATGTCCCCCCCATGGGCATCTTCGGTGCAGCAGCCTGTCACTGTCTCTGGCACAGGCAACTTGCCAACCCTCAGAATCGAGAAATGTCGGAACGAAGTGGAACCAGTCCTCAAGACTTTGTGGACGGATGGCCATGCTGCTTCCCTCGGCTTGGATAATTTGATGCACTTGAGCCTGAGACGTGCAAGATGAAGTCCCAAGGGTCTGAACCCCAAACTCGCCTGCAATACATGCCTACAGGCTGATCGCGATGCACGAAAGCCGGATATCTATTCAAGGCTTCAGACGAGAGAAAATGCGTGCAAACACCCACAAGCTGGGCTCATTTACTATAGGGCCATTTGACTACTTTTCCTAGTTGTTATAAGCTAAGCCTGACGTGCCCCAAATACCCTAGTTCATCCCTAAAACTAAGGATCCCTATATTTGCTTTCGGGTCGGCTTCTCCTCGTGATGGGCATGGATGCGTGTCGGTCGTACTGCAGCGGCCTCAATCATCAGGATATGATTGCAGGGGTTTAGGGTTTAGGGCGGCCATTCGGTATACTATACGATCACTCGTCAGATCAGATACTTTATTGGAGAAGGCAACCTGGACACCAGTTTGCACATATCCTAAACCCTAAACCCTAAAACTAAAGCCTAGACCCTATACCCCTAAACCACCAAACTTCTAAAACCCCCAAACCCCTAAACCCCAAACGGTTCCCACCTTCGTGTTGCATGGCACCGAGGTTGGCAGCCTGGCTCTTTCTGCGAAGACCGCGCCTTGGCGGCTTCTTGAAGGAAGGGCCTTGGGATTCTACTTGGAGGGTCGGGGGACTTAGTAAGTAGGTAGTAAGTAGACTTATATAAGTACCCTAAAAGGGACCCTAATTGGGGTTATGGCACTTATAAGTCCCTAAAATAACCAGTTACTAAATCCCCCGACCCTCCAAGTAAGGGTTGACTTCAAGGTTCTTAAAGGGTCACGGGTCTTAGTGATTCAAGGGGTTCTTTAAATTGGAACTATAAGGGTTCTAGAAGGGGGGTTAGGGTGACTTAAAGGGTCATCGGAACTTAGTAACTAGGGTTACAATTAAGTACTAATCAAGGTATATAACTATACTTGAAAATACTTGATCACCTACAATCCCAATTAAGGTACTCGTAACCTTACTTACTAAGTCCATCTAAGTCCCATGATCCTCCTGTAATAAGGAAACCTTGGTATTTCGATTGTAAAGAGACCTTAGGATTTGGAGTTGCTGCTTGGCCTTCATAGGTTTAGTGGTTTAGGGGTTCCGGGTTTGGGGTTTCGGGTTTGGGTTTAGGGGTTATCGTCATAAGGCAATATCATCTTGAGCTTGCGGGCATTGTGCAGTTTGTGGTTTTGCAGCTTGTGTGTCGGGTTTAGAGGGCTGTGCATGGACCTTGCGGGAAGAGGCTGTGCTTCGGCTTTGCCTTTGGCTGTGTGTCTCAGCCCGCTCGGGATGTTTTCAACCACCTCCTCCGCTGCAAGATGCGAAGCGCAGCGTATGTTGGGCCGTCACGACGGCTGGTGCGCCCTTGGACGCCCACGAACGTATCGTCCTCTTGAACGCTTGTAACAACGCAGCTCAGCGAGCAAGCGTTTCGAGCACCCGACTGCTCAAGGCTGGTGTAGCATGTGCAGCTTTTGCGTCATCGGGAAGCGGTCACGGTCGGCCTGTAATGAAAGTAAATACCACCAATTGTCCATACGCTTTGAGGAAATTCAGCCCACACCTAGATGCGGTCGCACATGGTGTTGCACCCATCTGTATCCTTGAGCAAGGTTTTGGGTTCCCAAAGATCCGCTGTAAAACTTACAGCATGGAATGGAGGAATGGAGTATAATTATAACTACTATTACTACCATTCTTCCATTCCCTGCTAACCAAAGGTAAGAAAAGGGATCTGACCTGTTTGCGCTTCAGATCAGATTATTCAGGGAATTCTTGCAGAGTCTTCGGAGCCAAATCATAAATCCTAAACGCTACCCAAACCCCACATCCTGAGATCCTGAACCTTAAACTCTCACCGCCAAAACCGCCTAGTCCCTGAAATGGGGCTCGAACATGTTCGGCAAGGGCTGAGGCACGCGCTCTAAAGCATCATGCCGAAATGCCAGGAGAGTAATCATGGGAAGCAGGCGGAACTGTGCCAGGTCCTGACATAAACCCGTAAATCCTCAGCCACAAATAATGAACCCGGAGTCCATTATCCCAGAGTTTAGGGCTTAGGAAGGAATCAAGACGTCCCTTGTAAGTTATCGCAAGTCCGTTTAGGCTCAGGTACTGTACTGTAGGGGCGTGAATAATTAGAATAGGGTTTTGGGCTCCTTTATGGTACAATTCTAATTAGGGACCCTAACGAATAATACATCTAATTAACCCTAAACCCTGAACCCTGAACCCTAAACCTGAACCCTAAACTCTAAACCCTAAAATTTAAGCTTCGATGTTACCTTGCCTGCCTCTTGTAAAGTCGTTGGCTCCTCGAGAAAGCCGCGTGGATCGGATTTCATAGGGTTTTATTAGTAGTAGGGTTTAGGGTTTCGGGTTTTTACCTAAGGTTTTTAGGGTTTGGAGTTGAAGGTCCATGTACCCAACTACCTGGTTTTTGCGGTCCCAAAATCTATGCTCGGAATAGGTTTTGGACCTTGAAACCCTACTATTTACTTGGAGCCGTAAGGTTTACTGCATCTCATCCTCCGCAAACATAGAACGTGATAAGGTGCCCAAGCAATGCGCAGTTGAAGTTGATAATTCGTTGAGAGACGATGTAGTAGGCTGGGCATCAGTGGACTTGTGGACTTATCTAAGAGCGCTGGAAGAGCGGTTTGAGTGGAGTGGAGCCTGATGGACTATTATCCTGCTTCCACACAACCCAAACCCCTTGAGGGACGATGTAGTAGGCTGGGCATCAGTGGACTTGTGGACTTATCCAAGAGCGCTGGAAGAGCGGTTGAGTGGAGTGCGGCCTGATGGACTTGTATCCTGCTTCCACACAACCCAAACCCCAAGAATAGTACACCAACGCAAACACAAACAGGTGTCTCAGCCCTCCTCTCTTGATTCAGGGTGCAAGTAGATAATGGTCATATACTCTCCCAAATAACAACCAACATTACTATTACTACCCCAAACCCAAACACGCAATGCAGACCTCCTCTTCAAAAGGCTCTTCTATGACGATCAATATTATCCCCTTCAAGGTAGGACGGTTTACTGATCAGGGTCTACCTACTGCTTGCAAGGCACTTGGTTGGAACCCTAGGCGTCATGCAACAAAGGGGCCACAACAATTACACTATGGTTTTTCCATATGCTATATACCTTTGACAGTAATGAGGAACCCTAAGGCACAGGCTTTGGGGGGTCTATCATATTCTACTCTATATAGCCAGGAATTCTAAGGAATAGGATTCGGTGTATGCTGTATCCGAACTATAATCAAGAACAATGAGGAATGGCTCTGGTGTATATTTGATACTTATTTATAAGTATATCTATATACAAATATATTGTAAGAAGGAGTCCTAGGTAAAAGTCTATTGAAGGTAGGGAACACTAGTAGGAACTAGATGGAGTAGGCACAGCGATCCACTACTAGGTTTTAGACCCCTTATAGAACTTTCAAAAGGAACCCTTTAAGGAACCCTAATTTTTAAAGTAGCCCTTGAATAAGGAACCCGTGTAAGGAACCCATAGATCCTAGACGAAGCCCAAGAAGACCTCCGCCAGCGCCAGAGCGGCAAACCAAGCAGAAGGATCCCCAGAAGCCGCCTGAAGTCTGGTCTCGTGGATGGTTGTCAAAATTATGATCCCTTTTTGGGTACCCGAAATAATAGGTGCCGTATTATAATAGGGACCCAAAAAGGGACCATACTAATTTTGACCACCACCCTCGTGGCTTGAAGGGGGTAGGGATGTTGTGGGGTTTGGGATCTTTAGGGCTCCTTTGAAGGGTGCTATAGGGTTCTGTAGGGTCCCCTTAAAGGGTGGACCCTGCAAAAATGTAGGTTTCGGGTTTAATTAGGGTTTAGGTGTCAGGGCTTTGGGGTTTAGGCTGTTTTCAAGGCTAAAGGGCTCACAGCGGATTAGTGTTTAGGGTATTAGGGTTTGTAGCCCTTCATCCTGGAATCCTAGGCGCTACTTCTCATTGACTGCTACGGGTAATTGAAACTTGCCATCACCGGGCTTTGGGCTCCAAAGAGCGCCACACCTTTCGTAGGGTACATACTACGTACTTAAAGGATCATGGGACTTAGTAACTAGGGTTATAATTAGGGTAACTCTACTTATAAGTACTTATAACCCCAATTAAGGTACTTATAACCTTACTTACTAAGTCCCATGATCCTCGAAGTAATGTAGGGGGCCTTAGCAGTTAGAACAGGGTTTGGGGGCCCATTATACTATAGTTGAAAGGAAGCCCAAAAATAGTACTGGCAATTACTAAGGCCCCTCTAGTACAGTGCTCCGTATGTCTGGGCCTTTATGGCCCAGGCACATGATAGTCTACGGGTAATACCACGAAGCCCTGAACTAAAACCCCACGGCCTGCAGCGCAGCTCCATATGCCGCTTCACCCGGGTGCAACCTTGCCAACATCGCTACTCTAAACATACCTGAAGCCACCGCATGACCCCATGGCTGCAAAACCACAGACCCCTCACCTCAGAACACTTAACAAGTGAAGGAGGAGTGTCTTGTTTATCATTCGGTAAGCATGTCAGGCTTGCTTTGGGGTGGCGCTCCTAGCTGACATGTTAAAAAGAGAGATACATACGTTGGCCATGCGTACATGGTCATGTGTATTATGGCTTCTGAGAAAGTGTCTCCACAGTCTCCACCGCAAAAATTGCAGTACGGCAGCATCGTGGTCGCTGCAGCTATTCCCGTCGCGATTTCAGGTAGTACCTTCTTTTGCTACTGCAGCGTTTATTTCAGCATTGCCCATGCTAGTCCAACTGCCATTCTCGTCATCAGCATCAGTTTGGTTACGATTAGAGCTGAAGGTTCAGACAGGAATGTAGCAAAGGACACTTTGAAGATCTCTTGTTGCACCAGTCCTCCAGACATGATAGCACTTGTGGGACTAGTATCTACCCTGTGCTGCCTCTTGGACCCTGAACCCCAAACCTTTTCAACCTTGAAACTTACAACTTATAGACCCTATACAGACCCTAGGACCGCAAAGTTTATTGCCCTTTTGACCCCAAACCCCAAACCTCTTCACCCTGTACCCGAAGGACCCTAGGACCCTAAAGTTTCAACAAGCCCTGCAGCTCGGTCCTCTCGTCGAACCTCACCCGGTCGAAAGGAACCCGAAGGAAGGCGGCAGCCCGACAAAAAGGACCCTGAACTTACCGTTGGTTAGTAGGGATGGAAGAATGGTAGTAATAGTAATTATAGTTATACCCCATTCCTCCATTCCCTACTAACCAACGGTAAGTGAAAGGGAGCCGAGTTTAGAGACCTACCCCTGTCCTTAAAACCAGAGCACTAGCCGGCCTCGTCCACTGTGTCCTCAACCCTACAACCCTTCTCGAACCCGTAACCCATAGAGAAGCCCTGTACTGTATACGACCCTCATAGAGCCCGTAACAAAACCTCTTACAGAACCTTGTGCTAGGTAGAACCCGTACGAGGGGGCGCCAAGAGGAGCCGGCCTCATCCACCGTGCCCTCTGGAGGAGCATCGATGCCATGGGCCAGACGCCAGAGGCCTGGCAGAGCCCAGGCCGTGTCTAAAAAGAGACCACTTGGGGAGTTTCCGAAATTAGGGGACCGTAGTATAGTACCCTATATGGTAGGATCCTTATTATGGGGACACCAAAATTTCAGGCAGCCCTGATTTCCGGAAACTCCCAATTGTACATTGTAATTTTAAGCTTAGCTGTTAGAGTGTAGGGTTTCGGGTTTAAGGTTTCATGAGGTTACAGCATAGGCCTCAAACTGCATAGTCCAAGAGCTATTGAGCTTTCTGCGTTGAGACTCTGTGCTTTGGGGCACTGCTAAGGCTGGCGATGCTAGCGGGTCCACCGCATGTATTGAGGCATAAGAGTCTTCGAATATGGAGGTGTCAGGATGTATTCCGGTGTAGGGTTGCGGAAACGAGGATTTAGGTAGGACTACACAATTTGCAGTTGAGGAGCACTGGCTTGAGGAGATTCTAAAGGTCTAGAGCTCGGCGCAAGTTCACAATCATCAAACCCGAGCGCAAGCAATGGCTCTCAAGTCTTCCACGATTATCCGACCGGTTTGGGTTTAAGGTTTAGAGCTTCATCAGGGTTTGGGCTTTAGGGCTTAGGGTTTAAAGGCTTAGGATGGTTGAGGGTCGAGGGTTGAGGGTTGGATCAGCCCGAAGATCACTTGGAATCTCAGGCCTACTGTCAACTGGCCCCCGCTTTTCAGCCAGCAGACCCAGGACTGTCTCTGGATGATCATCGACACTGCTCCCCCGCTAATCTAACCCCCCGATACTTGTAGTAAGGCCTACCAGGGCCGACCATCAAATATGCAAAACCCTCAAGCCCTAAACCCCGACCTGAAACCCTATGAATCCGTATCAAAACCCATAAAACTCTAGAAACCCGCCAGCCCAGAACCCCATGTCCACCAATCCCAGCAAGGCCGAAAGTTCCGTACAGAAACCTTCGACAGCCTTTTGAAAGTTCACTTGTAGAACCTTCATGGAGGACTGCTATAGAACCCTGTTATAAACCATCATAGCACCCCTTGAACAACCTTTGCATAGGACAGACTTCGTGCGAGGCCTCGGTTGCCCCAACAGCTGCACCGAGGTGCAGCTCGTTAGCAGACAGCCTCCGAGAGAGTTTCGGGCTTCAGGGCTTATCGCAATATAGGGACCTTAATCATTAGAATAGGGTTCCTTTTGAGGGTTCCCTTTGAACAGGACTATAAGGACTACTATAAGTGTTACTATAAGGGTTGAGAATGTAGGGGCCTGAATCATTAGAATGGGGTTTGGGGAAGTAGATTATACTATAATAACAGGGAACAACCAAAATAGTATTGGTATTTGATTATTAAAGCCCCTTTCTTGTGGGAATGGAAGAATGGTAGTAGTAGTAGTAGTAGTAGTAGTAGTAGTAGTAGCAGTAGTAGTAGTAGTAGTAATTATAGTTATACCCCATTCCTCCATTCCCTACTAACCACGGGTACCTATACTACCCTATACTAAACCCTGATAATCCTTATAGTAACCCATAAAGGACCCATTTCAAAGGCCCCTTTTTTGGCACCCAAACAGAAAGCTGCCATCCGGCCTTGCCAGGGCAAGCTCCTGGAGAAAGCCGACGGAGCGGACCTAGGAGACACGTCTCCTCCTCCTCCTCCTCCTCCTACCAGTAGTAGTGACATAATAGAACCCTTATGGTAACCCTTTTAAAGGAACCTTATGGAACCCTTTAAAGGAACCCTACTTGGAGGGTCGGGGGAATTAGTAAGTAGGTAGTAAGTAGACTTATAAGTACCCTCCCTAATAGGGACCCTAAATAGGGGTTACGATACTTATAGGTCTCTAAAGTAACTACTTACTGAGTCCCCTGACCCTCCTCCTACCAGTAGTATCACTATAGTACCACAGTTGATGGTATTTATCCTGCATGACCGGGAATAAGGAATATACCGTTAATTATTCCGATAATTTAGGGTCCTTAAGGTGATGCAGGGTTTATATCATCAACAGTAGTATCACTACGGCAACGACTACGACGACGACCACGACAACAAGAACAACCACTGCAGTCACTCCCGCCACCACCGCCACCGCCGCGACGACGACCACTACCATTATTCAGATTATTCATCACTACTACTAGCTTCTATTCCTGTCGCATTTCTACTTCCGGACCATGCCGGAACAAGCAGTCGTCACCATCTGGAAAAGCGAGAACACCTGACTGAAGCAGAGCATCTTCTCGAAACCCCTGTACTCTAGTAGTAGTCCGTAACCCTGATTCACGAAGTCACGAATAGTATTCCTGATGCCTTACATAGAGGGTGCGTTATATAAAAAACCCTCTATGCAAGACGAATTCACGAATAGTATTCTTGATGCCTTATAGCAACCCCTCCAGAAACCCTTTCCAAACCCTGATGTCAGAGCCGGGCCCATTGTGACTTGACCTGGAGGCACCTGGGATCTGAAAGGTCTTACATAGCTACATAACGCAGGAACTCTAGGGTGCTACGAAGGGTTTATTTGGGTTTGAGGGTGGTTAGATAGTATAAACCTAAGTACTGCTTCTACACTACGAACGGCCATATGAGTTTGTGAGTGTGTGTGTGTGTGTGTGCGTGCATGTTAGTCCCCAAGCTACTGAGAATTCCATGCTAAATCTTAAGATGTCGCGAGGGCTTGTGGGGCTTCATGACGGTTGTAGTTGGACCCTGGCGCGTGTACGCCCCTGTGTTTTCCTTTACTTCAGGGCTTTTCGACTCGGTATTTGCGAGGGTTTCGGGTTTCCAGGTCTTTGGATTTTCTGGGATCATTTGGGCCTTTCGGAAATTCTGCTTCGGCAGTCGGGATCTTCGGACTTTCTTGGTGGGCGGGGGGAGGGGGAGGGATGGGTGGGGGGGATGATAACGATCCTTCTACTGCTTCTTGGTGTCCAAGCTCTTCTTGCAGGCTTCTCTTGGCTCCACGGTACCTGGCTCCTACAGTACGGTTGAAGGCATAGGTTTCGGCTTGATGGTTTGAGTTGCGGTTTCGGGCTTTCAGGTTTGGATCTACGACTTGGGGACCCTTCCAGAAGCTAGGAGAGTGAGCATGCCCGTCAAGGTCCTGTAACCGGAGTTATCTAGGACGACAATACCTTACGTGCAATGCCTGTGGCTCTTTCCTTCAACCGCCCCTAAACCCTAAACCCTCAACCCTAAACCCTAAACCCTAATCCAAACCAAAAAAGCCCGAGCCCTCTAAACCCTCAACACTGAGCCCTGGGCCTCCCCAAAACCCCAGACAGCCTCGCCTGACCCTTTAGATAACTGCAAGGTGGGAACCTCAAACAGCACGGTTTAGGGTTTAGGGTTTAGGGTTTAGGGTTGAGGGTTGAGTATCATCAGATCAGCTCTGGGAGAAAGAAAGACTGCAATGATGCAGTCAGATTTTGCCGCCGCGACGAAGAGTCCAGCAGAAACAACCGCAAAGTGTGAAGCAAACAGTAACTTTACAGCCGAACCAAATCTAATATTTTGGTGCCAAAGCCCCTCTTCAAGCCTACATGCATAATTTTTCGCGTTTACCAGTGTTTGCGTGCTCTCACGCTCAGAAAACAACAGGGGCGCACATGTGCCGCGCACCTAGTAGTTTGATTGCTCGGCTTCATGGAACAACAGCTTCCAGCCCAAAAAACCCTAAACCCGTGCACAGGTGCGGATGCCATGGACTGTTCAGGGTATAAGGGTTTCAGTTTTAACGGCCAGGGCTTGTTTAAGGGTCTACAGTACACTGGCATTGTCAGAACTCCAAAATTTAAATTTCAGGGCGCCGTCGAGAACTAAAACAACCCAGATAGTATGAGTTTACGCACACATAACAGGGAATGCTATAGACTCTAGTACAGTACCACAACTGAGCTGGGGAGCCCAACAGAAGCCCTCAATACTGCGGCATGCTTCGTACAGATCACACAGCAGACGTGGCACCCTACGAGCACACCGAAGGTGTTGACGTCCGGTGCCAATCCGGCCTCGTCAAGGAGATACCAGGAATCATGTTTCGCTGCTTCCGAAATCTATCATACGCTGATCATACCTATATGCGCATAATGCACAGACAGGCAGACAGATCGACAGACAGACATTTTGATAGACATCCACATAATTATGCATGCATGCATATACAAATTCTCTCATACGAAGATATTTGCATATGTCTATATATGTATATATGGATATATGCAGGTACGAGTGCGTATGTATGCGCACGTGTATACGAAAGATAACTTACAATGATGCAACCGGCCAACTCTCAAACATACATACTGCAGCACAGCAGATACAAACAATACAAGATTCGCGTACTCATCGCGGCAGCTTCAAACACTTCTTAATCGAAGCCGTAACCCGGGGAAACAGGTCAAGACAGGATCGGACAGAACTACAAGCCTACATCTCTACATCACGAAAACAGAACCCGACCAAAACCACAATCAACATGCACGGGCCCCTAGACCCTAAACCCAGCGGGCCCCCAGCACCATCGGAACGTCAAAGAGACCACGCCTGCTGCGCCCGGGCATGCAGCTGAAGCGAACAGGGCCACTGCCTGGAAGTCATCTAGTGAAGACTGTCGGTTCTTTTTGGAGGGTTTAGGGGTCTAGGGTTTAGGGTTCAGCGGTTTAATTAGGGTTTAGGGTTCAGGCGTTCTGGGTTTAGGGCAGTTGAATACACAATCCTGAAAGGACGAAGTAGGCATTCTTGTTCTACGGATGTGTGGCATTTCATTACTTGAAAAACATCCGCTCCTTTCCTCTCATGAGCTTTACAGTTGAGAAACAGATTGGCTGTAGCTGCTTCAGGGCTTGCCAACCCCGAAAACAAAACAACTTAAACCCTAAATCCTGACCCTAAGCCTTGAATCCCATAATCGCTATGTAAACACAAACCCCAAACCTACAATCCTGGACCTGCAAGCCCTAACCCTTATTCCTAAACTATGTAATTCCGCCGCGGATCCTCTGAAGCCGATACCCGAACCCCAAACCCCCCAAAAAAACAACCTTTGGGCCCGAAATCCTACAATCTCAACCCTAACCCTCAACCCCGAATCTAAGCCTTACACACGCAGAAAAAAACCCTAGAAGTCCTCAACCCTCAAGCCCCAAAGAGCCCAAAAAGCCTTACACACCCAAAAAAAACCCTAGAAGCCCTAAACCCTAAAAAAAAAAAAACAAGCCAAAAAAAACCTAGAAGCCCTAAAAAAAACCTAAAGCCCCAAAGAGCCTCACTTGCTCCGCGGTTGTCAGGGCGAAGTTATTCACCAGCGCGGTCCTCAGAGTGACTCCTGCGCAGCACGGTTTTGGGTTTTTAGGGCTTAGGGATTTTAGGGTTTGGTCTCATCTAAGCTTTTAATGGTTAGAGAAAAGAAGCTCTTATTGGAATTATGGGGTTTGGGGATTTTAGGGTTTGGTCTCATCTAAGCTTTTAATGGTTAGAGAAAAGAAGTTCTTATTGGTATTATGGGGTTTGGGGGTTGTAGGGTTTGGTCTCATCTAAGCTTTTAATGGTTAGAGAAAAGAAGTTCTTATTGGAATTATGGGGTTTGGGGGTTGTAGGGTTTGGTCTCATCTAAGCTTTTAATGATTAGAAAAAATAGGGGGTTGGGTACAGGGGCCTCAGAGTGACCAGAGTGGGGCTCGTAGAAGGTATTGGCTGTAGGGACGTGAGTAATCACAAAAGGGCTTCGTACAAGTAAAAATCTAGGGTTCTAAACCCCAAATCCCATCTTACCCCCCCAGAAAAGCTTACCTTGCCTTGGGGACATGTAGACTCAGAAGTTATTCTAAGAAGGAACCTTAAAGATTGCAGGTTTTGGTGGGGTTTGAGTAATCCCCCGGGAGGATCTAGAAAGTAGATCCCCTAATTTGGGGCCCTAGACTACTAAGGGTACTTTATAGGAACCCCCATTAAGGGATCTACTTTTTGGATCCTCCCGGGGGTCTGGGAAGCCGTCAGCTGCGCTCCTTTTCGAGCAGCCATCTCGGCGCGAACTTGGACCGCCTGCGCTCTGCAGGATGCTGCCTAGGACATTAAATAAAAAAACGTGTAAATAAGCATACAAACATAAATCTCAACTACATATATATATATATATATATACATATATATATATATATGTATGTTCAGATACATTCAGGATCCCTCTATAATTTGCAGTAAGGATTTTGCTCAAACTAATTAAAAGTGTTTTGGAGTCTCTGAGTTCACTCAAGCCTTGCACCCGGGGCTCCGGGTTTAAGATTGCCCCCAGGATCTTCCTATTTAAGGGGTCTTTGTGAGGGTCTCTGATTTCTAAGATTCGGTCGGTGCCTGGCTTTTGGCATATGATGCCAGAGGTGAGGTTTAGGGTGTAGGCTTTACGGTAGACCGAACACCCTAAGCCCATCACACAGTACCAAGGAAAATCCTGAGGACCTATACACATCAACACTGAATCCCAAGACCATGAAATTCTTAACGTCCTTGCCCCAAATCCCTAGGCCACGAGCCACACAGCCCCTTCGGGAACTCGCTCGTTGCTTCTCCGGTTTCCGAGGAATCGATGGGCTGACAATCGTTCGACTACGGGTTATGCTTCCACACGAGCCGACTTCGAATTGGTTTTCAGAGTTTTGGGTTGGCTGAGTTGCGGGACCCGCGGCAACGGCCTTCAACCAGCCCAAATGCGTAGGGTATACAAGCAGTCTTTGTCATGGGGCACTTCGGGGTATGGGAAAGAGGTCAGGGGCCTAAACTTTCTGAGGCGTTAGAGTTAGAGGTCTGCAGGGAACGGCAGGGAGTTTCGGGCGCACCGGGGAACTCGAAGTTCCACCCCAACCCCAAACCCTAAACCCTAAACCCCTAAACCGTAATACCTAAACCCTAAACCCTAAACCCCTAAACCGTAATACCTAAACCCTAAACCCAGTAACCGTAAAACCTAAACCCTAAACCCCTAAACCCCAGAGATACCTCAACCTGTGGCCGGCTCTTCAGGGCCTTCTGCCAGTGGCCCACATTGGAGGAGACCAGTGCTTGTAGCAGTGCGCCTGAGTCTGTGGTTTCTCAAAAGGGGAAAACGAGGGACCCTAATTCTTAAGACCCATATAGTAGAACCCTTATAGTAACCCTTTTAAAGGAACCTTATGGAACCCTTTAAAGGAACCCTGCTTGGAGGGTCGGGGGACTTAGTAAGTAGGTAGTAAGTAGACATATAAGTACCCTAATAGGGACCCTAAATAGGGGCTACGATACTTATAGGTCTCTAAAGTAACTACTTACTAAGTCCCCCGACCCTCCAAGTAGGGCTAAGGGTAGATGCCTGATGTACCAGTAGTCTCCACTGTAGTTCTTTTGCTTGACATACGATAGAACGTTACCTACACCACTGGGTACCTGAAATGAAAAAAGGAGCTGCATCAGAGACCCTAGGTAGAATCTGAGGGCACAAAGCTGTCACGATGGCAGGCAGAAACCAAAGACCTGACCACGCAAGGCAAGCTGTGGCCACACCCCTATCCACTACGCCCTCAAGCCTAAACACCGATCCCTTAATCCTACAGCCATAAACAGCAAGGCCCTGCCCCGAAACCCCAACCGCCATTCCCATATCCCTAAAGCCCCAGACCACAAGGCCCTAAAGCCATCAACCCTAAAGCCCTAAACCTTAGACCCTAGACCCCGAACCAGAAAACTCTGACGCCCCAACCCCTTAAACGCCCATTCTGAGCCTGAGCGAGTTCACGGTGCACCGTCGAGCGAATTTCAACCCTGGGAATCCTCTATTCCTGGTGCAGGGTTTAGATTTAGGGGTTAGCCTTTAGCGTCTGTACAGGTTTAGGGTGGTGCAGGGTTTAGAGTTATCTTAAATTTCGCACACTGGGAAGCTATGGCCTCTTACCACTATGGATCATGCAAAATCTCGTCCATCGGCAGTAGGAACCCCCCACACCCCAAACTTAAGAACTCGGCTCAGGGCGAAGAGAATGTCGGGCTAAGAGTTCACGTGTGGGTTCGGTGTACTTGGAGGATCAGGGGACATAGGAACCAGGTCAGATTTGGTATTACTATGAGTTGTAAGTACCCTATTTGCGAGGATTGTCCCTGTAGCCCTACACAGAACCGACTTAATTGCCAAAAATACCTCACCCTCCAGGTACGGTTTAAGTGTAACGCCTGCAGCTCTTTGGCCAGAGTCGGCGAAGGGTGAAAATTGTTGGGGACTGCCGGGAAATACGCTTTGCGGTACCCAGCGTCCGAAAAGTCGGAAGACGATGGAAGGGAAGCGGATGTGACATGACCCTGAGTTCTACAAAGTCGCAAGCCCAACGGAAACAATATGGGGTTCCCGAAAATTAGGGGGACCCTGATATAGGACCCTGAATAGTAAGATCCTTACTATAAGGATCCCCGAAACTGTAGATAAACCCTTATCGAGCCCTGTAAAGGAACCCTTATAGTACCCTTATAGATACCCTTTAAAGGAACCCTTAGGTACCCCTAATTTTCGGAAACTCCCATACTGACATATGAGCCGCCTGGTCCCTGCAAGACGCCCCGACACGAAAATATGCACTACAAGCTCATGTCCAACCCTCGGTTTAGGGTTTACCCCAAGGGTCCAATGGACCCAATAATCGGGTACTCGGCTTTTTGAGAGTAGATATGTAGGGTAGGATTTTGGAGAGTATATGATTACTAAGTACTTGGACCCTAGGGCCCTAGGGTTTAGGGTTTGAGGAAGCCTCCACCCGAAACCTCTGTAAACGTTTATGCCGAACCCCTGAGTCGTCCAACGTGTGAGTCAGCTCGAAACCGCTGACCGCTGATAATGAGGGCATGTTATGTTGAGACGTAGCGTGTGTATGTTCATAATAATAATTACTCACATATATTACACAGCATGTATGTAAAAGTATAAGGCATGTCTAAGATACTGATTTCTCACAATGATCACCTACTTGCTGGGCCCCAAACTCCTCAGTGCGGGGTTTTCAGCGCTCACTTCAGCCTCCCATGGCTGCGTCGGGTGCGGCCTCCCACATGGAGGGTGGGATCAGGAGTCCGGCGGCTTTATTTGGGAGTTCCCGAAAACTAGGGGTACCCCATTTTGGGGTCCTTATAATAAGGATCCTACTATTAAGGGTACTATATTAGGGCCCCCTATTTTCGGAAACCTCCCTTTAAAGGGTCATGGGACTTCGCAACTGGAGTTTGGGGCTCCTGTACCCTTAAAGGGTACCGTAGGGCCTGTGAGATCTAGAGTATTGCTCCGTTTAAGGGTTTAGGGCTTAGGGTCTACTTAAAGGACTCTTTAAAGGGATCTCTAGGGTTCCTTAAAGGGATCTATAGGGTTTAGGGCTTAGGGTCTACTTAAAGGGCCATGGGACTTAGCAACTAGGGCTATTTGCCAGCGAAGTATCAACCCCCACCCCCGGCAAAAGCAATTTAAAGAGGCTTTGTAAACAGTTCTTGACTCCCCTAATCGAGCCAGGATTTTTTTGAGCGAACCTATTTTTAAAACTGAAGTATTTTAGTAAAAAAACGAACAAGATTTTAATAAAATCTATTTGTGATCACATTTCCTCAAGAAGCGAGTTTTCATTAAACACCGAAAAGATTTTAAAACCGTTGCGAATTCAAATGTTCATCAATGAAAAATCTACCCATTACCAAGAAACTTGGGCGATCTTTTAAAACCTCAGGGTGGGGGTGGGGGGTGTAAGTTGGCCGATGAGTTATAACTAAGGGTAACTGGACGTTGAGTTACTTATAATCAAGGCACTTTTCACCCTACTTACTAGGTCCCAAGATCCTCCAAGTAGTGGGCTGAAGCTATTCGTACATAAGACCCTCTTTAGCCCCATACCTAGGGCTCCACGCATACAAACCGTACCTACTTGGGGGTCTAAAGTCTATAAATACTACCTGCTCTGGGCTATCTGGAGCCCCAGGGAATAAGAGAAAATAAAGCATATCCCAAAGGCTTACCTGGTCACCTGGTTAGGGATGTTGTATGACGTTTAGGACGGGGTTTGACAGGGATGAGCTTTGGGGGGAGTCTTGTACATGGGTGGCGGAGCTAGAATTTGGGCCCACTTTAGAGCAGACACTTCAGAAGCACCTGCCCAACTGGCCTAAATTGGAATATAAACAACGACTTAGGACGTCAAGGCCTGCGGGTAGGCTTATGGTTCAGAGTACGGTTTCCAGTACGGGTACCGGTAAACCAATGACCTGAAGCCAAAACCACAGGGCTCACCTGGCTGACACCAGATCAAACCCGAAGATGTCGCGGAACCCGCGATACATACGTGCACTAGTACGAGTATGGATTTCAGATTTCTGTTACGTTGATTCCTCAAGAGAGTGTGCTGCTCTTGCAACAACGAGCCCATAATGTAGCGAGCTAAACCAGAAACCCTTAAACCCGAATAGTAAACCCTGAGCCCTCCTAAACCCTAAACCCTTAAACCCTGAACCCCCAACCCCGTAAACCGTCTCTTCATACGTAATTTAACCCGCGGGGCGCTTTTGCCGGAAAACCCCTGCCCTCTTACCACAGCCTGGTCGGCCATGTACGGGCACTCGGAGCCCGGCGCCCGGATGAGGTGGGGAAGATCGAGGATGACGGACCTTACTATAGGAACCTCAATGGTTAGAATAGGGTTCCTTTAAAGGAATCTATAAAGGATCTATAAGATGGCCTTTGTGGCGCTAGGAAGTCGAGGGTGAGAGCAATCCAAGCCTCGAGCCTTTTGAGCAGGGCTTCGGAGGATATTCGGGCAAAGCTCTATGCAGACTATCAGATCGTGTTTTTGCAAGATTTCGACTCCCCCTACCCTAAACCATTGAACATCTAAAAACCACAAGCATTCGTGATATAACCATATACACACACATATGTATATATATATATATATATATATATATATATACACCTACATATACATGAGCATATACATAGACATATGGACAGGCGGACGGACCGCCCGGCATGCATGCATACATACATAGATACAGACATACAAGTCACAAGTATATTGTGTATATATATATATATATACACCTACATGCACACATACTATACCCCCTGATCTATACTGAACTTAGAACCCTAGCTAAGATTGTAATTTTAGTTGCTTCTCAGGGGTTATATAAACCAAAAACTAAAAACTATTTCTAAGAGATAGTAACAAATCGCTTGCGGCTTGAAGACCCAGACTCGTCGATGCAGTGGCTGATGCGGAACTCTCTGGCGCGCTCCGCTTCCTGGGCTTGGGGTCAGGGTCTGGACCTCGGGCTTCGGGGTTTGGGGTTGTGGGTTTCGGGCTGGGGGTTCGGGGTTTGGGGTTTAGGGGTTGGGGTTGAGGGAAGTAGAGGCCTGAGAAAGCTTATACAACGGCGTTTTCTTGCATTTTGCAACGAATACAGGGATTTTATTACGAATACATTGACGACGCGCAACGAATACTGCCAGTACTACGAATAAGTATTCCGGCCCCTCTGCACATCCAGAAACCTTGACCCGAAACCCTATGCGGTTGAGATTTGGTTAGAAGACGCACACCCAAAACTCTATGACCCGGTTCCACAAACCCTAAACCCTAACCCCTGAACTTGTTGATGACATGGGACGCTCCAGTCTCCCGTCACGAGCTTTGCGTTTGAGAACTTGGCGAAGGCAATGCGGAACTTGGCATCCGACTCGAGGTAGAAGCACACCTACGGTTGATTTTGTCAATCCTGCATTCCCCGTCATAAGGAATATATCGTTATTCGGATAGTTAAGGGTCATTAAGGTAGGGTTCAACTTGCACTGTGACAGATGCAGGGGATAGGAGTTGACGGTTCTGTGCCGTTGACATTATTTTGGAGATGGTTGATGGATGTCAAACTTGGGCGATTTCCAGGCCATGCTATTTCGCCAGCTGAAGGGATCAGAGATCGTGTGTTCAGTATGGAAATTTAGGTCCCTAAAACCCAGTGTAAAGTCTGGAAGCCTACAGCTCAAAGGCTTTGGATCCAAGGCACAAACGTTGACCATTGG